TGTTGTGGAGTCGGTCCTGACTCATAGAAACCTTGTATAGGGTTTCCGAGAAGAGCTGGTGGGTTTGAACTGCCAGCCTTGTGGTTCACAGTTCAGTGTTGATCCTACAGCACCAAACTAGGAGTCCCGTACCCTGGTAGGAATGTTTATTTCCAGTCCTTAGTTTCTGGTTTCTAAATCCCTTTCTCCACTAAAAGAAACATGAGCTCCTTTGAGAAGTATCTTTGTACTTCTTGTTGTCTTTAGCTTTAAAGCACATAGTAAAAATTACTTTGTTCCTTCTGTGTAATTGTATTATTCATTTGAAATACTGTCAGGAGTTTTAGTTTTTGTTTGTGTTCAATATCTGCATCCCCCCTACAGTCCTTGTTGATTTTACTTATAATTTCAAATACATTTTGGAATGTGAAGTTACAATTTCAAACAGATTTTAGAACTGTAAGAAAAAAAGGATGTGGGGAGGAATTGTTGTTGTTGTTATGTGCCGTCGAGTCGATGCCGACCCATAGGGACTCTGTATAGGGTTTCCGAGGAGCAGCTGGTGAGCTTGAACCGCTGACCTTGCAGTTCAGATGGTTTTGCAGTCTGGCACATTAACTGAGTAGTAAATGTATTTTGATAAGTAAGTTTTGTATTGTCTAATTGGTAAATTTTAGTTATATGCTGGACACTGTGCCAATACATGCTATATTCACTGTTTCACTTTGCTCTTTTTTTTCTTCAGTTAAATGTTTTACTTTAGTGATGGCTCCATGTCAGTTTAGAAAGATACGTCACATTCTTTTGAGGAACTGCGTGGTATTATATGGATGTATCATGTACTCCAGTCTCACTGATGGACACCTGGGTTGTTTCCATTCTTCTGATACTAAAAAGCAAAAAAGTAATAATTGTCTTTGTACATACACCTTTGTCACATTATGATTATATTAGATCATTTTAAAATTAATAAGGAAATTACAGATCCTGCTTTTAAGGATGGTGTTAGATTAGTAATTTGATGTTACAAAAGCTTTATTTATATTTGAATATGTTCATTTTTAAATGATTGAATTATAATCTACCAGTTACCAAGTTTTACTTTAACTGAAATAAAAAAATAGTGCAGCATTTAAAAATATGTTTTTAATAACTAATTAATCCTACACTTCACATGAAAATTGCTTATTATTTATATGCTGTACTAAACCCTATCACAGATAGTGAAATTGGTCATTTAGATATGTAGTGCTCATTGGTGGTATGAAGAAAAGGAATGAAAACACTTTGACACTGCCTAAGAACAACATCATCTTTTTATTGTTTGCTATTCTCCATGGTCTGTAACGACTGAAAAAACCTTATAGGGTGTAAAAATGTAAAGTCCATATACTTTCAGTGTATTTAGTAATAAGACATGTATCTTCATTATTTGAACTGATTATTCATTCATATAAGACTGGAGGAAACTTTAACTATTTCATGGTACTATTTAGAATAATGAATGTAGTTGTCACATACTCAAGTCATAACTTTTCTATTTCTACTGCTTGTTTTACATTTCAATACCTCTCAGTACCCATGCTAAAATGAATTCAGAGTTATGAAGAGGAAAAATCACTTACTTCATATGATGGGTATCTTTGTCTTCAAATTCACCTCCTTACTGATTTTTATAGCTAGCTCTCAAAGTCTTTTATATGAATTAATTACACATAGCTTTACAGATGATATGAAATTTGTAAATAAGATGTAAAATTCTTAAGCTCACAAATAACTTTTGTTGTGTTCCATTTTGCAATGTCTTGGTTACTTAGCTAAGGATTTTATGCCTCTCAGTAGTTCTTGTCAGCTTTGGGAGCTGGGATAATGAGGCGTACTTTTAACCAAACATAGAAAGAATTGATTTAAATTGGTTGATAGAAAATCTGGTGTGGGAGGAAGCAGCACCATCTCTGCATCAACACGGAGTGTCAGAATTTCTTTAGGTAACAGAAGGTTGCACGGAGATCCTATACTATGACAAAAATCAAAATAATTGTTCAAGTAAGGAACTTGTGAGAAATAAAACTATATTTTAAAGTTAAATTTATGTATGTTTATTATGCATGCTTTCATCTAGCAATATTGGTTATAAAATTAATATATTTGTGTTTTAGCAAAATGTGCTCATTAGGTGCTTTTGATTTGATTTCCAAGAATACATCAGGTCAGGAAAATAGAAGAAAAAAATAGTCTTTGGTTTTTATGTGTTCCTTTTATAGTATATTCAAGGTTGTAGTGTAATTAGGATTGATCCTTTATTTTTATGTCCTTACTAGTAACACAGAATGATAGATTACTAGTATGTAGCTGTTAGATACGTAGAACTTACTTATTTATATAACTTTAGTGAGTAGAGCTAAATACATGCTTCAAGAGCAATAAATTAATGGTTCTTTTATCATCCTTTGCTAAATTTTGAGACTTATTTCATTATAATATTGCTATAATTCAAAGGCACTACAGTGGAACTTGAGCTTCCTCAGTAATCCATATTCTGGTATACCTTAACTTCTCTAATATCTGTATTAGAGAAGGAGCCAGAAAAAGTACCTTCCCAGTAGTAAAGAAACAGTTCCTAAGTATCCAACACAACAAAAAAGGATGTAAACAGATGAACCAAAGACTTGAAGGTCAGTCCTGACACACTGCTTTACTGGCTTGTACCTCCAAGGGTAGGGTGGACGAATTGGTAAAATGACATTGTCCATAGGTGTGGATTAGGGAGAGGATCAATTTGAGTAATCTTACATGAGAGATAAATGGATATGGGAGTAGGTGGAGTGTGGGAACAGAGTACAAATAAACAGGTACTTCTCAGTAGCTCCCTACAGTGTCACTGTAAAGATACATCAGGTTTATAGATCAGTGTTCTAGGACAGTAATACAGTGAAAGTCGTGTCTCTACTTTACACAGTTTGTAAGATTATACTATCATATGATATTATTAAAGATGGTTATGATAATGCTCAATTATGTTTTCTTAAATATCACTTTGTTAAGATAATTCATTGGGTTGTGCCCCCCTGTGTTTCTTAGATTTTATAATTAAGAGAAAAGGTTGTTTGAAAAAGTATTCTTTATGCTTTATCATATCAGGAAAAGTATATAAAATATTTTAGAGTTGTATTAAAAGCAGTTAAAAAAAAAAAAGAATGTCACATGTTTAAAGGGTCACTGTTAAGGTAACTGAAAACTCTGTTCCCTAGAATTTCCCTTTAGAGAGCTCCTTTTTGTTCTTTCCTTCTTCTGATACAGTTTGTAGATCACCACCAGACTGTGTTCATGGCTTTTTGGCAAGTACTTATGTAGATTTATGATTGTGGTATGGAGGGTGTTGTTGAATTTGGCAACTGAAGAGGAGCTATGAATAAGAAGAGTGTCTTCTGTTTCTGAGGCCCAGTCCACATTTTGTGTCTTAAGGATTTTCTTGGAGGCTAGAGTTGTAGAGGGACTAGATAGATACAGGTAGTCAATTATGGACATTATGTTCTCTTATCTTAATTTAGGTAATTATTTTTAAAGTACTTAAATATGAAAACTTCACTTCACAACCATTGATTATGTTAACCTAAAATACAGAGGCTCATTGTGATTTATCATACATACTGAGTTGCCATAGATCTACCTCACCAACAAAGTATTATGGTCCTTTTAAAGAATAGACTTGGTTAGGATCCTTTTGAGGTTTCTTTTTGCATTGATGTTTATTATAAAACATTGCTTTATTTGTATATTCAAGAAATAAATGAGTTGATAAATTTATTTTAATCAACTTGTAGAAAGACAAATACATTATTCTTTGACATAATCTTGTTATTCAGTACAGTTTGTCCATCTGTCAACAAACTTTTGTATTCCCTTATTAAAAAATGTTTTAGGTTGAGCTGCGAGTCACAAATGCATTACTGTCTTGACTTCTTCATCAGAGGTGAATCTTTGTCCTCAAAGAGCTGCTTTCAGGGGAAGACAACGGCTCACAGCTCAGCATACAACATTTTTTAATAAGAGAATATGAAAGCTTGTTGACAGATGGACAAAGTGTATTGAAAAGCAAGAAGATGATGTCAAAAAATGATATATTTGTCTCTTTTAAAAAGTTGATTAAAGATAAATTCTATAGCCAGAGTGTGGATAATTTTTGACTCTCCCTCATTTATTTGGAGCCAGATTAGCCAGTTCCTCTCCTGAGCAAAATTAAGAGTAATTAAGACCATACATAATCAATATTTAGTTGAATAGAAAATTTGTGTACATTGCAATTATAGTTTATTACAGTCACAGTTTATTTTTATAGACATAAGCTTATTATTTAGATTTTTTTGAAAAAATTACACCTATATATTCTTAGGAGTTTTAATGAGAATGTGCTTATGTAAATGAAGATTTAGTCTATATTTCATATGCCCCAAATTCATTTATAGATAATATTGATATAAATCTCTAGATTTCTCAAATTCCAAATGGCTTCCATAAATATTAAAGCTTTTTTCTTTCTTTTTTAATTTCAATTGAAATTCATGGTTGTTTAAAAGAAAATTTTTTAAAATGAATCTGATGTCCAATTAATTGAAAAACAATCAGGGTGAATTTGACATAATTGTGGTTAAAGTTGTAGGAGATGAAATTAAATTCTTAAAGCAATTCAGAAAAATAGCAATTGTAGTTTTCTATTATCTCATTATTTAACATCCTCAAAAACTACTGGAGCTTTGACTAGAGGTTGGCATTATGGCATATTTTCCCAAATAGAACTTGTAACTGTATTTATTTTATTAGGACGCATTGTTGGTATGTTTCTTTTAATGGATCTAAAATTAGTTGGAAATTGTTCAAATAACTGCTAAATTTCTGTCAGTAGGCATAGCACTATAGCTGTTGTGTGTAGGAGGGAGTCTATCAAGAGAATGCTCTTTAATTCTTTTTCTCACTACCTTCCCATCTTCCACCCCACCCCACTTATGTTTCCTTAACTTCAGAGAAACTGGTAGTCTGAGTAGATTCAAGACATCTTTAAGAGAAAATGTGTTGGGCAGCCCCAAGGAACTGATGAAGTTAAGTGTGCCATCGTTAGTATATGCTGTTCAGAACAACATGGCTTTCCTAGCTCTTAGCAATCTGGATGCTGCAGTGTATCAGGTAAGTGGAAATGTTCATAATGCAAAGCACAGAATCTTTCTTATATAGTGAACAACTTTCTCTTAACCCTTTATAATGTTATCAAATTTTTTTTATTTTATTTTTTAAGTTTTTATTATGAATCAAGTGATAGTTTACATGGGAGAACATCGGTTTTACACCGTTGTTTCACTGCAATGATTACAATCTCCTCCATGCATCATCATTCAACAGTATTTGCTTCTATTCCCTCTGTTTTTCTCAGGAGGGGGAGATATACACAAAACACTCAGGATTATATAGTAATTTAAACAACCAAAGGGCACATTCTGCAAGCCTGCCTCCTGGTCGCCAACACTCGGTCTCTCTCTTTCCATGAGTCTAGAGTCCTCACCTGCTGTATCTCCATGTTTTCATCTCTGCCTCCATCTCTGGTGTTAACTGCTTCTCTGGACAGGGTCCCACATTCTGCTCGTGCTTTTTTCCCTAGATGGTGCTAGGGTCCTTTGTTTCTGGACTGTAAAATTAACTACTGTTATCCAAAAAAAATTAATAATAATTCTGTAAGCTACACTGAAAATAATGTATATGTGTTGCTATTTTTTGTTAGATGCCATTGTGTCAGCTTCAACTTAGTGACTCTAAGCACTACAGAATGGAATACTTCCCAATCCTGAGCCATCCTCACAATTGTTACATTTGATCTTTAAGCTGCTGCCGCTGTTCAATTCATCTGATTAGAGCTCTTCTTTTTCACTGGCTCTCCACTTTACCAAGTGTAATGTCCTTCTCCAGGGACTAGGCTCTCCTGATAACATGTCCAAAGTATAAGAGACAAAATTATGCAATCCTGACTGTACTTCTTCCAACAGATTTGTTTGTTCTTCTCACAGTCCAATATACATTTAATATTCTTCTCCAACATCACAATGCAAATGCATCAATTCTACTGTGGTCTTCCTTATTTCTTCTCTAACTGTCACATGCATATGAGGCTGTTGAAAATACCATGGGTTAGGTCAGGCACATCTTAGTCTTCAAACTGATCTCTTTGTTCATTAACAAATAAAAGAGGTCTTGTGAGGCACATCGCCTAATGCAGTATGTCATTTGATTTCTTGACTG